TCATCTCATCACTTTATAGTTAATCTAGGCCCAAACTATTAGTACTAGTTTCTTAGTATCAACACATCACACGTAAACATGCTTTAATCATAATGCCATTCTAATACCATAATCTACGGTACATAACCATAATAAATCCCTGCTACACATTTAATCACATTAATAACATATCTAGGGGTTAACATTGTGGGCACAATTATAGGTAACTATAAGTTTTCGGTTACCTTGACTCTTGAGTTTACTACCTTTAAAGTGTAGCTTTAGATTTCGGAGGGAGTTTCCCGTCAATTGAAACTTTGAAACATTATGCTCTACATATAAAATCATCCAAACACAACATTAATGATTAATCATCATTAATTATCTCTTAATCATGATTAAGGACTAATTCTCCATTAAGCATAATTGAGTCATTTTAACCCTAAAACTAACCTCTATTGGATTATTTAAGCCTCATTAACTTTAATAATCACTGTCATTATCTCCCATTAGCTTAAACTTAATTTCTTAACATTAAGGTTAACTCTAAATCCCTTATTAATGGCATTAATTATTGTCAACCACTAAGACTTAGGTAAAGGAGCATTAAATAACAACCATAACCTTCATTAATGCTTTAAAATTTGTTGCAACTCAACCTTAGGTTCAGATTCTCACCTCTTATAAAAATAAAACTACCAGAAACATAAAGAAAAAAGAAGAAGAAGTATATCTAATACTTACCTAAGGCCTTGCACGCTTCAAACTAGTCCCTAGAGCCTCAAAGACAAAACTCGAACGGAGTTCTCAACTTTCTTTTAGCTAAAACCTCTAAACTCCTCTGAAAAATGAAGTCGATCCTGTTTTATTACTTTTGAAATTCTAATGCACTTGTTATGGTGAAAAGCATTTTTTTCACCTTAGAAAATAGCCAAAGATGGGCATCTTCATTAATCTTAAGGTTTTAGGCTTAAATCCAGCCTAACAACCTTTTAAACCCTAATTTAAACTCTCTTAAGGGCCTAATAGCCTAAATGGCCTTTCTAGCCTAATTATTAAAGCTTAATCATCCAATTAATTATTTAAGCCCTCTAAGTGATTAATTTAATCCCTAATTAAATTCTGAGATGTTATAAATATAAGGTGTTGTCATGCTAAAATATGATTTATTTGGCTTTTATTTCGATATCTATTGTTTGGAAATTATCTTGTATGCCTCACTTAGCAGTCGCATGATAGATTGCATTGCATTCCTAGTTGCATATTAATTTTAGTTACTGAGGCTTTCAAGTGTTACTCCCCGTGGTTAATGTTTTTATAGGGAATAGTTTAATAAGGGAAGCATTAGATGCTTAGCTTGGTGTGAGTTGACGACAATTGGCTTATTCGACCTTTTTTAGTTTAGTTATGTACATTTGCTAACCTTAAGGCATTTGAATTGTTATCGAGCATGTGATTCCTTCATTTTGATGAAAACTTGTAATTAATGGCTGTGTGCTAGTTTTTGTGACAATTATGGCTTCTATATTGTGATTAGGAAGTGTTGAGCTTAGAAAAGCATGATGATCGTTGTGTTTTGCTCATGTTATTCCATCTCATCTATATACTTGTCTTAGATGGCTGTAATCTAACTATGAGAATTTCACATGCATGTGTCAAGTCCAGAATATGAAATTGTTATTTGGTATATGTTTGAGTTGGTCAAGTGTTCCACACCAATGTTTTTATAATTGGACATGGTTCACGTGTTCCAATCGGGTTGGACTAATGGTCAAATCGGTGAAGTAATAATTAAATTAAAAAATTAGATATGTATATAATAATATAAATATAAGAAATAAATATAAAATTGCTACTTAACTTAAAAATAAAACCAAAAATTTTAAGTTTGTTATGATTTAACAAGCCACATGATACAAGATAACATTAAATAATTAAAAAAATTGATAAAAATAAAAGAAAAACAAAGGGGTATTTTTTGAACTATGCAGTTTTTGAAAATCAAATCCAGTTCCTTGTTCGACAGCCCATCCAAAGCGACTCAATTCAACTTAATTTCTCAGACAGTTTTTTTAGCTTGACCGAGTCGTTAGCTTGACCGATCGATCGTTCGACTATCTGATTTAGTCTAATTTTTTAGTCATTGTTCCACATTATGATTTGAGGCTTTGGTTACGATTTTGAAGTGTTTGGTGTTTAGAAAAATAGTGTTCTGTCTGATAATAAGATCCTCATATAGAGAAGTTTTGATACCAAACCAAAGCCATTAGCTAGATTGTTAAATAAGTTTCGTGTAGATACTTGAATAACTTAAATCAAAGTTGTGTGTGAAAAGTTATATAGGTTTGAATTTTGAAAAAAAAAGAAAGACAAATTATGCACTATGCTGTCACAATATTATGCGTCATGGTTAAGCCCACGTCATAAAGAAGGAAACTCCTTCTTTATTCTTTGTGCTGTAGTGTGTGACACACACCTTGTAACATATGGCCTAGTTTTCCCAAAAATTCCCTGTTCAAAAAATTATTTCTAAAATGACCACTTTTGACTCTCTTACCTTGTTATAATTTAGTTTTGGATTAAATTAACCCCCTTGGGACCACACTTCACTGTTTATTCATTTGCAAAATGTTTTATTCAACAATTCACCACTTGTTTTCAATGGGATCCTATTAGGTACACTTTGATATTAATATTTCCTAAATTGTCATGGTAGAGTTATTCTACTATGGTTAATCATTTCTACCATGGTAGATCCATTTCTATCATGGTAGTCCAATTGTGAAACTTGTAAGAAAAACTTTTTTTCTATCATGGTATGTTTTATGATAAATGGTTCTACTTCTTAAATTACCATGGTATCCTCTTTGCTAGTATGGTAAGGTTTAAAATTTCTTTTCCAAAGTTCTTTGTACTATATAAACTGTCATTTACCATGGTAGAGTTTTAAAGGAAAATGTTATCATCTATTATCATGGTAGATATTATTCTACATGGTAAGGGTTTGGTGTTATTAAATGGCTTATTAAACTATTGAATTATGAAAAACAAGTGTGAAAAATTAAAATGTTATAATTCTCCTTTGCTCTCTCACTCCTCCTCTCCTTTCTTTCTGTTTTTACAAACCGATACCCGCCTTCCATTTCAAATTTTGGACCATGTATCGTAGCGTACATAACATGCACCGCAGCGAATGATACAAAGAGGAACACCCATGTTCTTCTTCCTTTACCCGGGCCTAGGTGGCCTAACATTGCTTTGAACCCTATTGGAAGGCTACACCAACAATTTATTAGGTCCATTAGCTCTCTCTAACCGTCCACCAACCTAAAACCACATACATTTACTTAATTATCCTCGATTAAGTTAGTTAATTGAAGATTTAATTTTTAGAATGTTACATCAGGATTAAAAAAACCTAGAAATTAAAAAAACACATATATTACAAAATTTTCATAAATTTTGATAACTAAGAGTATGTAATACTTATATAATACTTAAAAAACTTAAAATTTTGGCAGACCATCACCCTGCTGGTCCCTCTCCCTTTACCTTGGGCTTTAACAAAGAAAACAATATTGACTCAATAAAAATATTACGAGAATTAATTTATTGAGTTCATTTGTTTCCATTTAAAGAATGAATAGTTGAAAGATTTTATTACAAGAGAGTTATTTTTTTATAGATTTTTATAGGAAAAGTATATATTGTTTTATGTTCAATTACAAAATAAAAAGTTATTGTCATAGATTTTTAAATTTTATGATGCATGGATATCTGTTTATAAAAACTTGTCATTTAGTTAGTTTAAGTTTTTACAATATTTTTGTGTATATCCATACTTTTATGATATTTTCTCTAAGATATCGCTGTATATTATTTTTAAAAACTATTTGAAGTGACTTCACAAAATAATTAGAAAATTATTTTTTTTTCAATTTTTTATCAATTTTAAAAATTTGAACAAACATTATAAAATTTCATATAATAAAAAAAATTAATGAATATTCTAAACCCTAAACTATTAAGTAAATATTATTTTAAATTTTAAACTTTTAAAATGTGTAAAAATTCTCACCAACTTTTAAATTCTAAGCAAAATCCCACTATTAAATTAAAGAAAACAGCCGTTATTTTTAAAGGTCAGGGTGAGTGTCACAAGAGCTTGCGACTGAGCTTTAAAATTTCAAAAGTAACAACTATTTTTTTCTAACTTAACGGTGATGTTTTAGAAGCTCATAATTTAAAAATTAAAATTTTTTTTACACATTTAAAGAGTTTGGAGTTCAAAATATTATTTGCACAATAGTTTAAAGTTTAAGATACTCATTAACCTCAATAAAAATAGATTTTTTTAAAAAAATCAAGTGATCTTTCCATAAAGGATGCATAAATAAACGGTTCCTAACTTCAGGTAAAATTATAAGAACGCTTTTCGATGTATCCAAAAAATACTTTATTAATTAACAAATTATTTTTCTATTATTAATATTAATTATTAATAACAAACTGACAGCCTTACCCCTTTAGCCCTAATTATATGGCAAAATTTTAAACAAGGATAAAGATGTAACAGTAAATCTTAGTTTTCAATCTTACCTCTCGTTAATTGCAACAAGTTGTTATTATGTTTTTAATTTTTATACATTATTTTATTATGATCATTAATTTCAATAAACAGTAAAATTAGAAATTTATACATATTTTGCATATAGAAAATACCAATTACAAATTACATTACATTACAAATTACAAATTACAAATTTTTAAAAATCACGAAATTATTTAATTTTATCTCATTGTGCTCACTGTTCATTAACAATAATAGCGGTGATAATAGCAGTGCCTATTTCTCACGTTTTTCTTAGAAAAAGTTCTGATGCTTCTTTCTTAGGTTTTCGCCCTGAAACCCTAGAAGTTTATCCTGTGCTTGTTCCCACTGCATTATCCCTCGGTAAGTTATCAGGATTTTGGGGGCTTCCGTGGTACATGTGTTAGTGGCAGTTATTGATTTATTTATTCATTTACTTTTTACTCTAACCGGGGAAATAAAAAATAATTTTTTAATATGAAATATGTTTGTTTTTTCTTTTAACATGAGTTTTCTTGATTTTGTTCGAGTCTGGAAAATACAACCTCTATGCTGTGGGTCTATAGATGGTTTCAAAGTTTAATTTCCGAAACTAGCTGGTGTTTAAGTAATCGGTGTTGAATGCTAAGTGCTGTCTTCGCGAGGATTAGGGTTTGGGAATGAAAGGGTCCTGTGTGGAATGCAGCGATGGCTGATGTTATGGAATTGCAGTAGCAGAAAAAAATGTCGGGATCAGAGACAGGAGTGATGGCCAGTGTGGAGTCCTTAAACGTGAGGCATCAGAATAGTCCGGCACCATCACAACCAGTCTTGCAAAACATAAGCATGGCCTACGGTGCTGATGGCACGACCGAGTACAAGCATCTTGCTGCTATTACCCCACCAACCTACCACTCCTCAACCGCTGTCACTGGCACTATTATTAACGGCACCGATGCCGGGCAGGGGGGCGGAACATCAGGAATCAACGTCAACATGGTCAGTGAGCCGCTGAAGAGGAAGAGAGGGAGGCCGAGGAAATACGGGCCAGATGGCGCCATGGCATTGGTCTCGGAGCCCAAACCTCTCGCGGTTTCCGTGAACCAGTCCAGCGGAGGACCTGCGTCACCCACTTCCACGTCCTTGAAGAAAGTCAGAGGCAGACCCCCCGGTTCCAGTAAGAAGCAACAGTCGGAGGTTCTTGGTAACTAATTTTCTTTTTTGCTTATTATGAACGTGCATTATATTAATGTAGGATTTTATTTCTTTTCTTCTATATTCAACTGTCTCGTTGGTTGGGTTGTAATTTTTAAGCAGTTTTTGCTTGTTCTCTGGCTTAACCTGATGACCGGTCAGTTTTATAACATTTTGACTTCCGGTGCCGTTTGGATCTTTCGTATAGCGGTTTTTCGACAGGATACACTATGCTTTTCCTCGTTTTTTAATTAGGAATACAAGGTACATTACATCTGCTGTAGACTTTGTAGATTAAAAAAGCTTGGACTATATTTGTATGCTAGAAATCGATTAATAAATTTTAGAATGCCTATCTTGTTCCCGCTTGCATGCAATGTTCAGATTTTTTTGGGCTTATATGCAGTTTCTTCTTCGTTTTGATTAACTATTGTCTTGAATTATTGAATGATGGCAGCATCGAGCTATTTTCATGATTTCATACCCTTTTCACGATCACTTACATTACATGGTGCCATAGTCAAGGGCATCAAAGAGAAAATTCAAAAGCTTAATGCTATCTATTTTACCTTTCCTAAAGCCTGTGTATTTTGGCATCGTAAGCCCTGAAATAACCGTCTTCTAATTTCAGTTGTGGTCTAAACCGTATGCTTATCATTGAGTAAATTCCATTATGTAGTCAATAACCAATAGGTCTGATGGAACTTGCACAAGTATATCTGGATGATATGTGGCAATTGAACACAGTTCTAAAATTTTCATGTTAATGTTTCAATGGTAATCACAGACTCTTACTTTGAAACTTGGGCATGTGGTCTGATATATGCTGAAGTATGTTTTTTTATTTTTTAAATTTCTGAAAAGGAGTGGGTCCATTGGAGTTTTTAGTTTTATCAAAGTTCATGTAGCCGCTACTGCTGTAATATTCTATTGGATGGTGATTTTCACAAGGAAGGTTTTTCTCCAGGATCAGCTGGACTTGGATTTACACCACACGTTATTACTGTGAAAGCTGGAGAGGTATTTGCTAATCACATAGAATTTTTAGATGCATTCACTGAACGATTTCATTGGAAATTGTTGTTTGATTTCTTAAAATTAACTTTATGTTCTATACCATTTTCTACAAGTTATTATTTGATTCATACCTTTCTGGTATTGCTCCTTTTTTTTTTGGTAATTCATCATATATTTGTCCTTTTTTAAAAATTAACCAAACTTTTTAGATGAATATCTTGGGGCGAATGTGCAATGCTGGAAGTTTGTAGATGTAAACAACATTATTCAAACTTGTTTACATCTACAAACTTGTTTTTCTCTGATTCTTTCATTCATGGGTTCCTTTAATTTTTTGTTCAATTAATATTTTACCAGTTTTATTTATGTAAATGTTGTTTGAGCCTAAGCCTTATTGTATATTATGCTTTTTGAGAATGATATAATTCTTATTACAGAGTAAAAAAAAAGATATTAACTTCAAACTTGAGTTATGGACAAAAACCTTGGAGTTGAAGGATGACCACCTAAGCAAGAGCGAGACGGAATATTTGCATTGCAATTTTGATAAGAGGGTAGTTAGTAGTATTTTGGAAGTGAGATTGAGAAATTAGATCATACCTCAAGTAGAAAAGTTTATATATTTGGAAGCAATTATTCAAAATGATGCGGATATTGCACATAGGATATAAATTGGATGGTTTAAATGGAGAAATGTTGAATGAGTTATTTGTGATCGAAAGGTACCTAATAGACTTAAAAAAAAGTTTTATAGAACTACTTTAAGATCATCTATATTATATGGTAATGAATTTTGGGTTTTAAATGGGAACATGAGCATGCAGTTGGAGTAGTAGAGATGAGAATATTGAGATGGATGTGTGACTATACACAGAAAGATAAATATGAAACGAGCATATATGAGAAAAAGTGAATGTGGCATCTATTGAAGGAAAAATACTAGAAAATCGTTTGTGAAGGTTTGGACATGTACAGAGAAGGCCATGAGAGGCATTGGTGAAGAGAGTGAAATGGATAACTTTAAACCCTATAAAGAGAGGTGGAGGAAGAATAAAGAGAACATTTATGTAAGTTGTTGAATAAAATCTCTTGGTGAATAATATTCCTATGAGTTTGGTTTATAATAGAGTATAACGACATCATGTAATCCATACAGCCGACCTCACCTAATGGAATAAGGCTTATTGTTATTTGAGCTTGAGCCTCCGAGGGGGTTTGTTTTATTATTATTATTTTGTTTTTGTTTTTGTTTCTTTAGGGGATGGGGGACCATCTTTTAAGATGTGCAACTTTTTCAAATATTCCTTAAAAGCTAAACAGGGATAATCATTTTATCAAAATTTTCAGCTCTGAAACTTAATGGGAAATTGAGAACTGGAAGATATATCATACATCTAGAAAGTTTTCTTGCACGGATAGAGCATAATAAAAGGGGTAGAAAAGTTATTAATCACGCTGAGTGTAACTATGCAAGTATTGGTTGTTCACATTCATATGCTGACCTAAAATTTTTGGCACCCAATTTTTCCCACATAAATATGGGAAAATAAGCTGTTATTTCCCATAAATCCTGACCGTCTGAATCATTCATGATTCCAATGAGCACAGCACATGTATTTCTCGCTGAAGTCTGAAACCTGTCTCTAGTTGGATCATCCTCTATCCTCTATCAGCATATGCAGCTCTTAAGCATCACCTGGGGTTGTACAGTGATTTTCTCCTCTGTTGAAGACAAACTCGGATATTTCTACTGAAATGGAAAACTAAAGTTTGAGGAAATAGGATTTCATCTGTGAGAGCTGAAATGACACAGAAAAATTCCTTCCCTTTTGTTTTTTTGGACAGAGGTAAAGAGGGTAACGCTGGAACAGCAGAGGGATACAATTCTGGTCTTTTAAAATTAGAGATAAAAATCTGATAACTAAAGATAGAATGGAAAATACAACTGTTAGTTCTTTTAGCATATTTTAGTGTTAGTTCTTATACCTTTTTCATTGCTTCAACTCTCAAGTTTCATCAGTTTGCAACTTTAGTCCTTATTGTCATGGAGTTAAATCTATTTATGTGTGTATAAATCTGTTAATTATATTGTTGAGTTGGTAAAATTACAATGAGTTGGACATTATATGAATAAAATGACCACTAACCTAACCTGCCTTTCCATCCTGCCAGTCATGTCTTTTTTTTTTCTCCTGAAACTTCATCCATTGCACGTTTTACGATTGTGACTTAATTTCCTGCTTTTTTTTTCTTGCTTACTGCTTATTTTTTATACAATTCAACATAATTTTAACAAGGCAGCACAAGAAGTAACAATATTTATGTATAAATTAGCCATTGTTAAGTCCTAATGGTTATATTTAAAAATATAGGGATTAATATTGCAGATATATAGAACTTAAGAGACTTGGGGCAACAGAAAAAAGTATAGGGACCAATATCAAAAAACACTAAAAGTATAGGGATAATTGTTGTATGTTCTCCAAGGTAGAGGTATAATCCTATTATTACTCTTATTTACAGGAGACAAGGGAATAAATTCCCCTGATCTCCATGATCATCTCTCCTCTGCCAACTTTCTCACCTTCTATCTTTTTATGTTTTGAGGGTGTTTGGCTGCTGCTTTATGGCTTCCACCATCTTATTCTTGTTTTTGAATGTGATTTTATATGCATCCAGTTCTTCAGCATATGGCACTGGTTCTTCCTCAAGCCTGTTCTCAATAGAAATCACGTTTTTTATGCCTTATCATTTTTGGTTTAGCCCATTAGTATAGCAGTATTCTTCAAAAGTGCCAACATCTGGTTTGATAATTCAATCTTAGCACTTAAATCATCATAATCTAGTTGAGCAATGAGTATCCGGAAAGCTTTTCTGAAGTTCGCCTTTCTCCTTCATCATAGAGTTTGAACTGCTATAATCTCACCTATCTCATTTTCCCAGCCAACTTTCAACTAGCTCAATACTTTCAGCGAGATGTGCAGCATTTTTGAGTGCTGAGGATGCCTGGGACTCACTAAAACCATGGATGATTCAGACGGTGAGAATTTCTTGGACATAAAAGCTTTGGGGTTGCTTGGTTGGAGGGAGGTAAGGGAGGGATTTTGCTCAACGGACAAAGGCTTTTTGTCTGTCACATTAAAGATTAAACAATAATATATTTATTTAGAAAATCTTCTCATCTTTCTGGGAAGTACTAAATCAACCGAGCAAAGGAAGTCAACTTCCCAGAAACTAGAGTAATTGAACCAAGTGACTTCTTCATTATCCCTCGTTTATTATTCCATTACATTTGTGTTAATTTGAGATGTTACTCTTACCATCTGTCTAGTATGCTTTTCTTCCTTTTCTTTTTTTGGAAAATATGGGGTGCAGTAGTTAATTTCTAATAATTTGCAACTATATTGCATAGTTTCTTTTAAGACTAATGGCTTTTATATTTTGATATACAGGACGTGTCATCAAAAATCATGTCCTTTTCTCAGCATGGTCCAAGGGCTGTTTGCATCCTCTCAGCAAACGGAGCCATATCCAATGTGACACTTCGTCAAGCTGCGACATCTGGCGGAACTGTGACTTATGAGGTTCGTAAATGTTCTTGCAACTTTTTCATCCGTCTTCCCATAAACTGATCTTCAATCCGAAATCTAGTTGTCCACTTTCCATTAGTCCCATTGATTCTTTTTTTTTTTTTAACTGTTTATTTACATATGTTAGTCCATGTCTTTTATTTTAGTCCTTGCTTATTATTAGGAAGTAAATTTAGTTTCTACTAATGTCAGTTAGGTTGAGTGAAGACGTGATGTTCCTTAAGCTAAGTTTCAAGTTCACGTATTGTGAATGAAAAAAATCACATCAGGATTGTTTTTTGCCATTTGGGACCCGATGGGACTTGAATTTAGATTAATTAATAGTAGAGCCAGTAATTTGGGCCAAATCCGATGGGCCAGCCCAAACTCGCTCGAAAAATTTAGGCCCAAGCCCAAAAAAAATATTTTTTATTGCTCGGGCCTGCCCGAATAGGCCTGAGAAAATTCAGGCCAAACCCGATCGGGTTCGGGCTTAGCCCGAATACCCGAATAGAAAAAAAAATAAATTTTTAAAAAAATATATAATATAATAAATATTAATTATTTTTTAAGTTTTATATCATTTTATTTTAAAATACCATATATTTGAGTGTATTACTATAGGTATTTTTAAAAAAATAAAAATATTTATATTTTCCCATTTTTATTATTTTTAATCAAATAAAATATCTCAAAATAATAATTAAAATATATTTTAATATTAATTTTTATATTTTAAGGCTTAATTTTTTTTTTGAAAAAAATTGAGTCATATACTCCATTTTCTTGTCCAAAAAATTATATTTTATATTTTTTATAAAATAAGATAATTAATTTGAAATTAAAAATAATTTTAAAAATAAAATTTAAACATGTAAGAATTCCCGGCTCTACTAATAAACAAATATAATAAATAAAATAATATTTTTAGATAATTATTTGATTATCATTCACACCATACTTAGTTAATAATTAAGAATGAACTAAAGTAAATATCCTTTGTATATAGGACTTGAACAATATAAAAGGTTAAAGAAAAAAATTCAAAAAATAGTATTTTACCCATAATTAAATAATTTTGTTTTATATAATATAATGATGACTATTTTTCTTATATTCTTAAAAATGAAAAGTAAAGTTTATCCAATAGTTATTAAAAACTTTGAACTAATCAGGACAATAATTTTAAATTAGTGGTCTAATCGTAGTTGAATTGAGATTAACTTGATCATAATTAAAATAATATGATTCAATTAAAATATATAAATATTTTTATATAACCATGATAAGGGCAATATTTAAATAAATAAGACATTAATTTACAAGCAAAGGAAACATTCATGAATGAATTGCACATAATACAACAAAACAGTAACAGAACTACTTAAATACTTAACTACAAAGTTAATAAGTTATTATTTTTTTATTCCTTTCAAGTTAAAATAATATGTTATGCTTAATAAGATTATTTAAAAATTAAAATTGATTAAAACTAAAATATTTTAAAAAAAGTTTCGGGTATTCGGGCCGGCTCGAATAAGCCCAAGCCCGAAGGTGTTAGGGTCGGGCTTGATTATATGGGCTTTTTAGAAAGAGTAGGATTCTTTAAGCCTGATCCAAATAAGCCCGGCCCGAATTGAGCTTGACTCGAATAAGCCCGACCCGCCCGAATTACCGGCTCTAATTAATAGTACTAGATATTGTGGTTCTAGAAAAATGTTTTCCACTATGCTTCTGGGTAACTAAATTATGACCCAGGTTTGGAGGGCCCATATCATTATTTTATTGTATTTGCAACATTCATTTAATATTAAGAGTGAGAAACTGTGCTCGTATTGGATTAATAAGGTTGTACACGCTATTAGCGGCCAAATGTATTTAGTCTTATTATGTAATCAAACTCTGTCGGGATGTTTTTGTTTTGCAGGGACGGTTTGAGATCCTATCACTATCTGGTTCTTTTCTTCTATCTGAATATGGTAGTCAGCGGAGTAGAACTGGTGGATTAAGTGTATCCTTGTCTGGACCAGATGGCCGTGTTTTAGGTGGCGGAGTTGCTGGACTTTTGACAGCTGCTTCGCCTGTGCAGGTACATACTTCTTTGAATTTGCATAGTGAATTGATTTCTGGTGTTATATATATATATATATATATATTTTACCTCTAGCTCTATCCATCCATCGTGTTTTGATATATTTGCATGAGGGAATTGATATTCCTGCACTTTTTCTCGGGAGTTTTGGGGAAGACTGCAGTTGTCATTTGTTCTCTGACAATATGAGGTTACTAGTTCATTCCCTTCCATGTGATGTCATTACAATTTGGGGTTACAGTTTGGGAAATTGATGGCAGGTTGTTGTAGGGAGCTTCATTGCAGATGGTGGGAAGGCACCAAAGTCCGCAAACCAATTGAAAATATTATCTGCCCCCCCAAAGTTGGCACCAGTCAGTGGTCCAGTGGGGCAGAGCAGCTCCCCATCGCGGGGCACTCATAGTGAATCGTCAGGAGGGCCTGAGAGCCCACTTAACCCGAGCACAGGAACAGCCTGCAATAGCAGTAAACTACAAGGCATTTCGTGCATGCCGTGGAAGTAAAAAAATTCATGTCTTCTCATTAATTCACTAATTTATGCAGTAGTGGTGGGGTTGATGCTTGTGTCTCTCTTACCTCGTCTTATTTTACCGTTTGAGAGGCATATATGTAACATTTGTTATGAGTAGTGAGTATCAGGTCGGGAAGGGATGTAGTACGGTTGTATAATCAAACTTCTAATAGGCTATTTGTAGTGGTTTAGTCTGGTACTTGAGGCATGGTATGCTCCTTGTATTATTCAGGATGCGATTTCGTTTTTCCTGTATTATTAGTTGTAACGTAATTTTGATGTTTGCGTGTGTTGAATGATATCCGTTATGCCCCGGTGGAAACTACCTTGCTGTAGAATCAATGAATTTAGCACGCCCCATTTGGGAGAACGTGGTGGACAATTGGGAACTAAAGGGAGGGGAAGAAATGTGCACTCAGGCCTTTTCAGAAGGTTTGGAGTTCTGTTGGGAGGGCTACGAAAGTTATCATTATATAGAGCTTCACCATTTTCTGTGATACACGCTGCTTCCCATTTGTGTGTTTGAATATAGTTCTTTTTAGAAGAGCAATGGTTGTCATGCTTATTAGAATACATAAGATAATAAGAAACGGTTACGTTGGTAGAAAGAAAAGCATCAACACTGGATGTGAGTGGAGTTAGTCTTGGTGGGATAAGAAGCCATCACGTTAATTCCACAGAGGCCCTCGGGCTTGCCTGTGTTTCGCCTCATACGGATGTACCCCTTCTCTCCCCACTTGGGCCCCCACGAGTTCTTGACAATGATATAATCCAGCCCTTTTGATGTCCCATAGCCAACAGCTGCCACCCCGTGATCCAGTTCACTTCCGCAGTGCCCATCGAAAACTCCCTAAATTGCTACGCCGTCAGACTGAAGACAAATAATGAAAGGGATGGAACAAAACTGTGGCTAAGCTATTGCATTACGTACCCCGCCGTAAAATTGGAAATCCCTACCGGAAGCCTCTATGGCCACACTGAGGGGTTGGTTTGCAAGTGCTTTCAATAAGCTCCGTTCGTTGTTCTGGGGCACGTCACGGTAACCGCTAATAGTGACGACTCGGGATTCACCCTGTGGAAGCAAAAGAATATGATGTTGGTGGAGAATATTCTTGATCTTAAAACCAATGAATTTGATTACCTTGGTCATTTCGCAGGTGCCTTCCTCCATTTTGTAAGGATAGTCTTCCTCCTTATGGATTCCCCCGTTAGCGGCTATAAAGGAGAATGCATAATCCATGAGCCCCCCATTGCACCCATTGTTATAAGTCCTGTCGCAATCAATCAATTGCTGCTCTGACAGAGATGTCAAATTCCCCGTCACAATCTGATTTATTCCCTCCACGGCCGCAACAGTTGAGAATGCCCAACAACTACCTGCAAGCATGAGCATGCAGTGCTACTAAACTAAGAAATGCAAATATGTGCGTGTGACTATGATGCAGGCCTTCAATCAATCAACCAACCAAATATTTAATTACCACATGAGCCTTGATTCTTGACGTGGGTGACGGCGCCTTTCTTCCTCCAATCCACCGATTTGGGCAAATCAACAACATCTCTGCAAGTGAAATCTTCAGTGGACTCTTTTCTTGTAGAAAACTCGGGCTTGAGCCCAAGGTACTTGGCCTTGAACTCTTGGTGGCTCAAATCAGCGAATTCATTCAGCCCCAGCCAGTAGTTACTCACCATCTTGTTTCTCTCATCAATATGCTTCAAGTTATCCTTGAAAATATCGAATCTACGAAACTTTTCCTCGATGCTTTCATAAATCTTGCCGTGTTTTGCCATCCATGATTCGAACAGCTCAATCAGCTTATCCATGGACTTCAAGTCCTGGGAGGAGTAGCCCACGATGGAAAAATCACGGCCCAAAATCAGGGACGAGCATAAGCAGACGGAGCAGAGAAAGGCAAATGTCTTGGTGAAGACCATGGCAGAGAATTGGGTAATGGATACGAGCAAGAAAGAAAGGAGGGGAGGTGTGGAAAAATGGGTTGAGGGAGAGGTGCTTTATATAGGTTATGTTTAGGATATTCCTTTAAAGAAACGTTTGTAAGGATTGTTGACACTTTAAGGCAGGTTCTTTTGGCTGCCTTTATGTTAAAGCATAAAATCATATGCTGCATAGAACTTGGCGGTGTTAAATTGCTAGTTGCTATATACTTTATTATACATACACGACAGTTACATCGTGGTTAGTTTTGCTCACATCCCCAGCCATCGCAACACTCGTTTCATTGACAGCACCAGCATCTGAGCTTCTTTGTACATGATGTTTTTGAGGGGCAGAGGTGTTTGCTAGTTGCTATATGCACATCCTCTCTTTGTTTATATTCCTTACTGCACTTTGATTCATGATCCTTAATAACATGATTACATCAAATACTACATTATATGCAAAAATATTATCAATATTGACTTCATTTCAATCCCATTATATTTCATTCATAACATAATTTATTGAGATCTCATTATTTTCATAAATTCTAGATACCCAAGTTTCTTCTAAAATTGAATATTAACTGTGTTAAATGACTCTTCGTGAGTTGTAAACTTTTTTTGATTATCCTCAATTTGACTATCTGTGTTTCTAGATCTCTTTTTTTTCAAAGATTTTTATCTTTGAAACCAATGGGTCTATCACACTTTATGCGTACTGTAGAATCATTTATAATAACAGGTTGTCCAACAAAAACATCAATTATAATTGGAGCACTAGCAGCTATAATTTAGTTACTTTCTTTAGGTCAGTAAATACATTTGGCAATTGATTTGTTAAATTTTGTAAATGAATTATTTTTTTAAATTTCTAGTTCACACTACTTTGTATGAGAATGCAAATGAGATAATGATAATTCATTCCAACTATTTTTTTTCCAACTGCTTATTTTCTCCCCCTAATGTTGGGAAAACTGATTCATCAAAATGACAATCAACAAATTGAGTTGTAAATAAATCTCTTGTTGAAGGTTTTAAATATTTAATTATAGATGGAGATTTATATTCAACATATATATCCTTCTTTGAGGACTCATCTTAGCATGTTGTGGTGGAGTAATTGAAACATATACTGCACATCCAAAAATTATTAGAAGGAAATATTAGGTTCTTGACCAAAAACTAATTCTAAAGGGGAGCTCTTAAAATAACTTGTTGGCCTGATACGAATTAATAATGTTGCATGTAATATTGCGTGTCCCTAAGTAGAAATTGGGAGATTCGACCGCATAAGTAATGACTGTGCAATCAATTGTGAACATTGAATCAATGATTCTGCAAGCTCATTTTATGTATGAAGATGTGCTACAAGATGGTCAATATCAATTCTAAAAAATATGCAATATTCATTAAAAGCTTGTGAAGTAAATTCACTAGTATTATCTAGATGTATTTTCTTGACCGGATAATCAAGAAAGTGTACTTTTAATTTAATAAATTGAGTAAGCAATCTAGCAAATGCCAGGTTGCAAGAAGATAATAAACAAATATGTGACCATTTTATCGATACATCAATTAAAATCATAAAATACTTAAATGATTAGCATGATAGGTGTATAGGCCCATAAATATCACCTTGTATGTGTTATAAAAATGTGAAAAATTCACTTTTTATTTTTGCTAGTGATGATTGAATAATTAACTTTCTTTCAGAATATAAAGCACATGAGAAATCATGGGATTATGGAATTTGTTAATCTTTCAATGAATGCCCACATGATTTCTCGATTATTTTTCTCATCATAATTGACCCAAGATGGCCTAATTGGTCATGTCAAACATTAAATTTATTACCATTTGTAAACTTCTTGTTTACACTATTTAATAATGCATGATACAAGTTAGAGGAAAAAGTAAGTAATTCTTCTAGTGCGCATTTTTACTAAAAATTAAATTCATGATAATAAGATATTCTTTATTTTCTTCATTTGTTGTCTCAATATGGTATTCATTTCTACGGATATCTTTGAAACCCAATAAATTTCTTCTATACTTATTAAAATAAAATGCACCATTAATGTGTAATTTTATTCCTCCAAGCAACAATACATTAGCTCTTCAAGAGCCATCTATCACCTTTATACTTTTGAATATAGTTTAAACATTGACTTCTTGCATTGTCAAATAAGAAAAATATTTTTTTATTTTTAAGTATTGTATGAGTTGTTACACTATTAACGAGACATTTATATTATTATCGTTGGTACCAATCAAAGAAATACTCATTTTTCATTAAAAAATATAAAAAATATATAATTAAAATATGAAATATAAAAACTTTATTTATTAAAAAATAACATCATAAGTAAATTATCTAAAAAATAACATTATAAGTAAATTCTTTATTCCAATGTAAGAAAATTAAAACGACACTTAACTATAAAATCTAACAACATTAAGGTCTAAGAAATTTATTTCTAGACATTTTCATCCCCAATCAGATGATCAATTCTGCCATTAAGATTGGCATAGAAATTAGCAACATCCAGATGAATAACATTTATGTCACCATAATCAAAATGTATCTCTATCTTCACTTCTTTATTTTTTTTGAGAGATTCTTGATAAAGATAAATCAAATGCTTTAGAGTATGGCAGATATATGACTAATGGCCTTTACCATTAAACTGGTAACATAAATTTTTAATATTATTATTAATATTATTATCCCTACTTGTTCGTTTCTTGTGTTTCTCTTCATTATTTGTCTACTTCTTGTGGAAAAGTGTACTACCGCAGCCATGTCCACAGCTATGGCCATGACCCCTAGTTGATTCATTTGGCATTGCATTCACTTTTGAAAATAGAGTAGAACTAGTTAGATGAGATTCATGATTTTTCATAATAGCTCATTATTTTGTACAGCCACAAGAAGACAAGAAATCAATTCAAAATATTTTTTGAAACCTTTTTCATGATATTGCTGCTGTAGGAGCATGTTGGATGCATGAAATATGAAAAATGTTTTTTTCTAACATATCATCATCAGTGACTTTTTTTTCATATAATTTCAATTGAGAACTGATTTTAAAAATTACAGAGTTATATTCACTCTTGAATTTAAAATATTATAAACATAAATGCATCCAATCATAATGAGCTTTTAAAAGAATTATAGTTTTTTAATGGTCATACATTTCTTTTAAATTATTCTAAAGAATAAGAGAGTCTTTTATAGCTAGATACTCAATTTTCAACTCTTCATGTAAATGATGACTGATAAATCATAATTTTTATATATTTTGTCCCATCTTTTTTTGTGCATTTTATGATGATTTTGGACTAATTTAAGTTTATTAGATATTATTTAGAATTTTTAGCCAATTCTAAGAAATATATATTTTTGAATTAATTATAGGAATTTTGAGCTTAAATTGTTAATATTTTATTTTTTATTTTTAAAATGGTTTAATTTTTTCAATCTTTAATTGAGTTTAATTTTAATTATTATACATTATTTGAGTTTTTGGTCATTTTGTAGGAAAATTATAATGTTGGCAAAAATAATTTGAAAATATTTTATGAGACATGCGATTTATTTTAGACATAATCTACACTAGTAGGTTCATATTGACTTTTTAAGTTATGAAAGCGCAATTAATAAAATTCAATTACGAAGATTAATTGTTAGGTTTCAAGAAACATCCAATGGTCAAGGCTTTATAAGATAAAGAAGGAATTATCGAAGTTTATTAAAGATATAATGAGCATTTCCAACTAAAAAAGATGGAGAATTTTTATACTTTTTTTATATCTTTTTTTTAATTGGCTCTTTTTTAATTCAATGGATGAAATTTTTCTAAAACTCTCTGCTCACTCTTCTAATCATTGGATTATTTTCCCCCATCTCTCCCTCTCACTCACTCTCAGCCGCCAGGAAAAATTCATCATCTCCCGCGTCTCTCTTCCTCCACTTCCAATCATCGAGCATCTTATTCTCCATTCATCCTCACCGACAGCACCCACATCTCATCATTCATCCACTTTACTTCTTCCTTCTCCATGGATTTGACGCACACACCATTCTTCATTTCCCCATTTAATTTTTTATTTCATTCCAACATCTTCTCATCCATTAAGCCACCGCCACAATCAGCCACGCCATTTCTTCTTCTCTCCTTCGCAATCATTCACACACACACCACTCTTCACTCCCATAAATCTCATGACCGTGGCTTGGCTGAAATTTGGAGGAAGAGCATCATCTATGAGAGCTTTAACTAGCCTGTAAGACAATTTGGAATGAGCATAGAGAAAGCTAGAACCTAGAATTTGTATTTGAAGATTATTGAGGAGTAATTTTTCATTTATCTTTTTAATTCAAGAGCTTAAAATTATTTAGTTTTAAATAATTTTAAGTTGCAATGTTTGAATACAATCTAGTTCTAGGTTGTAAATATTTTGAATCTTGAATTAGATTGATTTTGTATTTAATGAATTTCTAGAATTTATATTTATTACCCTTGTTTTGCCAATAAATTAATGATTGAGTTCTCATTGTTGATTTAATTGTCCTTGTATTGTTTGTTACAAATATGGGTTGTTTTTTTTACCTCTTTATAGTTCAATTAAGTTAGTAAATTGTCTAATTATTCAATTAGATAATTTAAATATATTTTTCATATTTATTTTGAATTAATCATCGTTGGTTTTAATATATTTAATATTTCTAATTCATAATTATAGCATTTAGTTCACTATAAGTTCTCTAGTAGAGTAAATGTTAGACTTTGTGCTTGTGGGTTTTCTTTCCTTTAATTAGGTAATTAAATTTATTAATTTCACTCCCTTATCATTTCCGTTTGATCTAAGTAATTGAATTGGGCTAGGAAAGTGAATTTCATGTGAAGTAAGCTATCCCCTTAACTGTAAAGGGCGTCCTAAATCAGGACTTAATCATCATACTAACCATGGTTAATTAAGGACTAACCCAAATGGATTATCCAATACGAGATTAACCCAAATGAATT